AAAGAAGAGGTTGCTATCTATAATCGATCAGATTGCATCATATGATATGGCAAAGGATATCCTCAACACAAAGGCCAACATGACATTGGCACAAGCCCTTAAATATCTGGATCAGAAGTGCAATTTGGCCAAAATTATTCGAAGACCTAAACCTCTTACCACAGAAGCCAATAGTTTTGAAACAGACAAGGCTAGAAAAACTATAGCTATGAGATGCCATGTAAAGATCAAAGGCACCCCATAGTAGCAATATTGGATTCTGGTGCAGCAGTGAGCATCATCACTAATAAGTTAATGAAGAAATTAGGCATGGCCACCACTAAAGAATTCAAGACAGTAGTCATTGCTACTAATGGTGGCAGATCCAAAGCCCTTGGTATAGTGAAAAATATAAAAATTATACTCCAAACTATAATTATTCCATAAACTTGCAAGTTATAGAATTCATGGATGAGACACTTTTATTGGGCACAGATTGGTTCGCAAAATTTAGCACTACTCTTGATTTCAGGAAACATACCTTACATATAAGGTATACTAAAAAAAGCTACTATTAATACCACACATACCAGTACTACTCCACTATCTCCGTTGAGTATATAAAAGAGGAGGACGATGATTAGTGGGTGGATGAACTTGATGAAGAATAAGACCTTTTTTTCTGATGAAGTGAATACTGACTCTGAGGATGACCTGTATTACAACCCATGGGAAGAAGAGATAAGCCCTGCCATGTGTTTGGTAAAAACCATAAAAGGCATAACCCAAAAATTCTACACCACCCAATTACATATAGGTCAAGAAGTTACCATCGAACAAAAAGAAGAAGCACATGAGCTGTTGCTTCGAAACCACATTGTGTTTGCCACAGACATCTCAGAAAATAGTCAAACCATGGGACTAGGATACACTAATATAATACAATACCACATCAATACTGGCACTGCTTGGCCTATCAAACAGAAGCCCTATCAAATTCCACCAGACCAGCAAGAATTTCTCTAAAAAGAGATTATTAAGATGAAGAAATTGGGTGTCATTCATGCCATCAAAGGACTATGGGGAATGCTGGTAGTGATTATGCCTAGAAAAGATAGAAAAAGAAGAATCTATATTGATTATCAGAAATTAAACATAGTAACTGAAAAAGATATTTATCCTTTACCCAATATTAATAAGATTCTTGACAGTTTTGGAAAAGCAAAATAGTTCTCTAGCTTAGACTTCAGTAGCAT